TTCCCAATTTATCCCTCTCCACCTCTTTTCCACCCTGGTAACTGTAAGCTTGTTTTCTATGTCTCTGAGTCTTTTTCTGTTTTGTAGGTAAGTTCATTTGTGTCTTTTTTTTAGATTCCACATATAAGTGATAGTATATGGTATTTTTCTTTTTCTTTCTGGCTTACTTCACTTAGAATGACAATCTCCAAGTCCATCCATGTTGCTGCAAATGGCATTATTTTATTCTTTTTTATCTCTGAGTAGTATTCCACAGTGTGTGTGTATGTATGTACTTCTTTATCTAGTTGTCTGTCAGTGGACATTTAGGCTGTTTCCATGTCCTGGCTATTGTATATAGTGCTACTGTAAACATTGGGGTGCATGTATCTTTTCAAATTAGAGTTCCCTCCAGATAGCTGCCCAGGAGTAGGATTGCTTTGATCATAGGGAAAGTCTATTTTTAGTCTTTTGACGGATCTCCATACTGTTTTCCATCCTCCATAATGGCTGCACCAAACTGCATTTCCACTAGCAGTGTAGGAAGGTTCCCTTTTTTCCACACCCTCTCCAGCATTTATCGGTTGTGGACTTTTTAGTGATGGTCATTCTGACTAGTGTAAGGTGATACCTCATTGTAGTTTTGTTGTGCATTTCTCTGCTAATTAATGATATTGAACCTTTTTTCATGTGCCTTTTGGCCATTAGTTTATTTACAGTATTATTTGAATGGCTTCCTATATTCCATGTGAAGCTGTACTGCAAGCTTATTTAGTCATTTCCTTAATGCTGGACATACGGTTCTTTCTAGTTTTACAGTTACATTACTAACAGTGATTATATCTATAGGATAAACTACTGGAAAAAGGAATTTTTTTCTGTTGAACAGTATGCACTGTTTTTGTACTTTAAGATTTTTCCAAATTCTAAAGAAAGTACTAGTTATAATCAAGTTAACACTATATGAGAGTACACTCATTTTCGTATTTCCTGGCCCATGCCTACCTTTTTAAAAGATAGTTTTATTGAGGTATAATTGATATACAATGAAATGCACATGTTTAAAGTGCACAATATGATAAATTTTGACATGTGTACACTGGTGAAACCATCACCACAATCAAGATATTGAACATATGCATCACCTCCAAAATTTTCTCTTGTCCCTTGCTCCTTCATTCCTACATCTTCCTACCCTGCCAACCTAAGTGGAAAGAGGTGACATACTGTTTCAATTTATATTTTTTAATATGACTCAGGTTGCATTTAAAAAATGTATTTATTGGATACTTTTTTTCCTCTGGGAACCTTCTAAACATGTCTAATTTTTTCTCTCAGGTTCATCCTTTTTTTTCCCCTCACATTTTAAGTGATATTTGTAATTTAAGGCTACCAGACATTTGTCATTTTTTGTTTAATCACTTATTTTTTACCCTATAAAATGTTTATAACAATTTCTACTGAGATTTTTCCAGTCCTTTCCTTTGTGGCTCTGGATTTTACATGAGACATAGAAAAAAAGGCATTTATTTTATTTTATTTTATTTTATTTTATTTTATTTTAATTTAATGGAGATACTGGGGATTGAACCCAGGACCTCATGCATGCTAAGTGCTCTACCACTGAGCTATATACCCCCCAAAGGCCTTTTATAAAATAAGATTATTTTAAAGTGCGAAGAAATACATTTGTCTTCCAGTTTTTTCAT